GCGCCCACGATCACTCGCGCGGCCGCGTTCTGGACTAGCTGAAGTCGCCGGATGCTCTTCAAGGGCAGCCCCATGTAGAGCACATTGCAGTATTCAGCGGCAGCCATCTTAGAAACTACTTTCTGCCCTAGATGACATCATTAAAAAAGTTAACTGTTTCCTAACCTTCTTAAAGAGCTAGGCATAACAATTGAACTTGAAATATAACACAAAACATACACGTCATTACAATCTCTGGCTTTCTGGTCTTCAAATTGCTGTCTCAGGGCAGTTATGAATCAATAGAAGTTCTGCAGCTCAGGCGCATTGGCACTGTGTAGAGTTATCATCGACCTGGCTGCAACCCCTTCTACTGCCAGAGTGATGACTTTGACCTTATCTCCCTTGATAGGGATTTTGTTACCATATTCTTGCATGTAGGTGATGACCTGTGCTAGGAAAACCCCCAATTGTTGAAGGTTTCCATCAGATTTCATGCCCAGGGAAGGACTTTCATATCACTTCCTCATCCTCCAGCACTTCCATCTCCTCTCTCCATCTCTGCCCATGACTGCTTTGGGTAAAGGTCTCTCCTTCTGTCCTTCTTTCCCAGTTGTCCTTCTTGCCAACAATTACGGGCCATCTACTCTTGGCTGAGTCTGACCTAGACTGGCAGCTTCTTCTGTCCATTCGGTAGAGTTCACGCCTGATTGAGGCTTGGCAGACGCTTTGCTCCAGAATTCGGTTTCTTCTTGATCACTGTTTTGTGTTGACATCATTTGCACAGTCCCCATGGTAGGGTAGGTTCCTCTCCAGGTTGATCACTTTGCAGACTCCACCCAATGTAACGATCTGCCTAAGAAGAAAGCAAGACTGCTGAAGCAGTTTGCATTTGAAAAGGAACTTTTACTGAGAAGTAGTGATTGCACAGAAGTCAGGTGGAGTCTGAAATGTGTGCATGAAGCATTAGGCTAACTTTTACCTTCAGCTCGCACCCCAGTGCCCCATGTCCATCAGTAGCCATTAAAATGCTGCAAAACTGTTTTGAAAAGTCTGAGGCTGGATGTTGAGATGAGGTCGTCCTAGGATCACTGTGACCTTGAATTCCAGGCTGGAACCAGCTGAGAGGGAGCCTCTGCAGATGGCCCTTTCTCCCTTCTCCCAAAAATCCCAACCATCAAAAGCGAAAGTATGCAAAACATTCAACCCACAAAGCCTCCCCACTCTTCAGAAGGACAGCATTCTGACAGGGACCTGACATCCTGATTATTGCATTTCATTGATTTAACATATGAAAAGGGACCAAAATGCAATTTTCTGGATATGAGAAGACATGATATTGAGTTTGATGTAATGATAGGGATTATCTAGTAATCTATTATATTCCGAAGGAAATTTAAGTAACTAAAATGTCATATATTTGTTTGTATCTCTCTCTCTCTCTCTCTCTCTCTCTCTCTCTCTCTCTCTCTCTCT